GTTTCCTGAAAGATTTAAGTATTAGTGAAATCATGTTTATGTGATCATAGACATAAATGATATATACATAAATAGATACATAGATTTACAAATATATAGAGACCCATATTTATAGAAAATGTATTGATAACCATGAATGACTAAAAAAAGCTAAAGTTTTACAACTTGTGTATGGGTGAGAACTGCTTTTTTACATACAATGGACCACAATTAGTAAGAAGTAACTGTTACTACATAGGGTGCCATGGATCAAACTGAGTAAGAAAAAGCAGCATATTCAAATGACTATATAAATGGCCAACAGATACATCAGGAACTGTTTAGTGCCATGAATCAGGGAAAAGTAGAATAATAGATGCCTTCACAATGAAGTGTAATCTATCATCTGTTTGGTCAGCTACTATGAAGAAGCAGTAGATAACAGATGTTAGTGAAGATATGTAGAAAAAGGAAACTTTACACACAACTCGTAACAATATAAATTGTTATGGCCATTATGGAAAAACTTATGAAGAGTCTCAGAATCACTACAATATTACTACTGTAGACGCACCATTCCCACTTCTTGGTATACACCAAAAGGAAATGAAATCAGCGTAAGACAGAGATAATAGTCTGCCCATATTCATTAAAGCATTATTTACAAAAGCCAAGACATGGTAGAAAACTAAATCTCCATCGGTAGATGAATAGATGAAGAAAATGTAGAATATACACATAACTGTGCACTGTTCACCTTCAAAAAGAAGGAGATTCTGCCATTTGAGACAACATGGTTGAATCTGGATGTCATTATTCTAATACAATATGTTATATAATAAGCAAATCATGAGTGTTGCCTTATGTGAGGAATCATAGTCAAAGTATTATAAGCAGAGAGTGAAATGATGTTTGCCAAATTCTTAGGGTAGGAAAGAATAGTAAGTTATTAATCAAATCAGTCAAATTTTGAGTTATATACAATGGATTATGGGCTGCAAATTTAGCTCAGTGGTTCCGCTGCCTGCCTCACAAGTGCAAGGTCCTGAGTTCAATCCATGGTAGGTACCAAAACAAAACAAAACAAACAAACATAAAAGGATGAAGTCATAGAGATCTAGATCTATTGTATTACATAGTAGCAATAGTTAACAGTACTGTTTTATATACTTAAAATTTGTTAACAGGGTAGATCGATGTTCAGGGTTCGTTCTTATCAAAAATAATATAACATATACAGATACTGGAAGAAAGCTTCAGTTAGTGATGAGTAGGTTTATGATACATATGATGCTGGTTTCTGGAGGGCATATTTATCTCTTAACTCATCAAACTGTATACATTAATATGTACTTCTTTCGTATTTCAGTTGTACTTCACTACAACCCTTTAAAACAGCATACATTCTATACATTTATATGAATTTAGCCTCTTAGAAAAATCAAAATTATGTAAAAATAAAAATGATAGTGATTTCCCAGACTCCAACTACATGAGAAAGCATTTACTACAATCAGACATGGGAAAAAATGGAGCCCTACTTATCTTCATAGAAGTGATTTTTACACAAATGTGTGATTTTGTCAAAATGTAATCTTGCTCTAAAATGTATGAGTTGAAGTATGCTAGAGATAATTTAGCAACAGCAATAACGTTCTGGGCACTATCCAAGTCCTTTGGATCATGGACTGCGGGAGCCCTTCCCTCATGGGAGAATGCAAACACTTTCATAACAAGTTTCAGTCTTAATAGTGAATGATAGTGTGAGTGGAGGTCTCAACTCTAATGCCAAACAGTTTTTAGGTTTTTGTTTTTGTTTTTTTGTTTTTTGCATTATATCAACCAAACAAAACTCTCACCATTTATCAGATAAGGAACTCACACCATAAATAAATGAAATTAATTTTACATATCTAATAGGCAGAATCTGGAAATGCAGGCACTAATTCCAACCTTTCTTGCAGTCTTGTTTTTGTCTTTCTGGAAAATATTTTCCATGTAGCTGGTGACAGAATGATAGAATAAAATGACCTTTTAATTTGGAAATGTTCCATTGAAATCATGTCCACAAAAAATTTTTAAGTCCTCAAATACACTACTGTATGGAGGAAAGGTTTAACAATATGCAGAAGAGTTAAATAATCACTAGGAACGTGGACTAAAGATGTACTTACATCTTTTAGAAAAAAACTAACATTTTTGCAATGTGATCAACATACGGAGTTTGATGGGATTCACATAATATTTCCAAGTGTTCATTAAATGAAAAGCATTGTTAAAAGATTTTGCACTTACCAGTTAGATTAGGGTAATAATTATATGTCAAGTTGATAAGCTCTCGAAGAATGAGGGTGAAAAGGAGGCTAAATCAAATCAAATTACAGGAATGGAAGAATCATGTACATTCGAATGAGACTTGGGCTGGAAGTATGCTAACTGAATTAAAATTTAAAATTTTCTGATTTGAAACAGATCAAGAGTTTTCTATTTTTCCTTATAAAACAGGTTTTGTTATTGATTGTTTATGAATAGATCGTCAAAGGATAATTAGTAGCATGGAAAATTAGCCATGAAAAGTCACATTATCATTACAAGTCATTAGTATTGCATAAAGCATACAATATAGAAATGCAAAGTTCATGTATGTACATTATCACTAATGGTTCATATTTAGTGTTGAACAGATACTAAAATAGTATACATAAACATGCATACTTATGTCTGGGGATAAAGAGAATACATTTGTTTTTGTGCTAAAGGTTTGGTAATGTTTGTCTTCCTTCAATAAACCTTAGTTGGGTTTATCTACCTTGACTTTTTTAGCCCTTTCCTACAGGTAGTAAACAATGAGTAACATTTGTCAAATAAATAAATGATGGTATATAGCGAACAGAGCCACTATGATTTTGTGTTACCTGGCATATTTTGCTAATCACTGTAGAGAAATAATTAAAACAATATAATTGGCTAATTCCCCACAAAAATATTTTACCAATTTTGGTGAGAGTCTCAAACTATTCTTCTATGTCACAATTTTAAGGAAATAAACATAAAAACTTTTACTAGAAAGCAAGAAACATGGCATTGCGTGGACCTCTTCACTTACCATAAGCAACTCCCAAGTTGCCCTGCCTCTTACAGGAATTGAGACCACAAGGGGCATAGATGTCTCTCAGATAAGAACACCCAAAATCCAAGGGCTGTGTTCAACTCCTCCTCTATCAAAAATCATGGGTAATAGGAAATCTTATGGTGACTTTAACTTGCATTTCTCTGATGATGAATGGATTTGATCTACCTTTTCATATTCTTCAGTCTTCTTTATTAAAAATATCTATTTAGGTCATTTTAATCATTTTATAGTTTTATTCATTTTTTTACATTTTTGCTATTGAGTTGTGTCAATTATTTATTAATGAGGTGTATTAACTTGCCTTTTCTGTTTTTGTTTATGTTACCATGCTTTTTTAATTTGATTCAATCCCATTGTTTTTCTTGTGGTTGCTTGAGTAAAATGAATAATTACAGAGGCTACGCAATCTTTATCCAGTCTCCAGTTGATTGGCAATTGGGCTGTTTTTAAATTTTAGCTATTACAAACCATGCCGCTATTAACATGGATGATAACTGTGGTATGATTCTTTTAATTCTCTTGGAAAGATGCCCATTAGGGGAATAGCTGGGTCAAATGGGACCTCTAATCCGTTGAGGTATTGTTTTTAATATAAAATGGAATACTACTCAGCCATAAAGAATGAAAAATTAGAGATATTTATAGCTCAGTGGATGCACGTTGAGGCAATACTCTTAAGTGAAATAAATAGGACACTTGTAAATCGAATAGTTTCTCTGGCATAAGGAACTGAAAGTGTAAATAAAGATCAAAAGGTATAATAGATAATGTAAAACAGGAAGAAAAGGTCCAAGGAGAAAGAGGAAGAGAAAAGAATAGGGACAGGAAAGAAGGGAATGGAATTAATACCATAAAATGAAAATGTAAATAGGGAGGGGTTGAAGGTTTGAAGGGAGAGCAGAATGGGAAAAATAAGATCCAAGATTGGTTATGTAAAAGTATAAATTTCCAATGATGAATGTCATTAAATTTTATATTTAAAATGTACTAATAAAATTAATTTAAAAAATTTTTAAAAATGATTACAGAGGGTAATACTAAGCAACTTTTCACTGTTTTTCTCTAAGAGTTTTAGTTTCAAGTTTTAAGTTTGCTTAATTATTCAATTTTGAGTTAAATTTTCTGTATGGAGTAAAACAAGAGAAGTTTCATTTTGTTACATGTGTATATTTAAGCAATGTGTGTTGGCTATCCTATTCTTCCCTCATTGTTTCTTCTTGGTGCCCTGTAGAAAATTATTTGACAACATATATTTTGATTTATTTCTGGACTGTTTATACTGCTTCTCTGGTCTGTGTGTCTGTTTTTATGCTGCTAGCATTCTGTCTTCATTACTATGTCTTTATAAAGTAATTCAAAAGCATGAAGTATGATACTTGCAAATTTTTTAATTCACAAAATTTTCTCAGCTACTTGAAGTTTTTACATAGCTTCATATGAATTTTATAAATTTTTTCTGCTTCTATGAAAATAACTGCTGGAATTTTTTAGGGATTGAATTGAACCTGTGTATCACGGGGTGGTATGGATGATTTAATAAAATTATTTCTGTCCATTAACAGAAAATGTCTTTCATTCTTGGGTCTCTTCAAACAGTTTTGCTTTTAGTTTTCAGTGCATAAACATTTATTTCTTTGGAAAAAAATCTAATCTTAGCCGGGCATGGTGGCCCACGCCTGTAATCCCAGCACTTGGGAGGCTGAGGCAGAAGGATCACTGTGAGTTCAAGACCAGCCTGGGCTACACAGTGAGTTCCAGGTCAGTCTCAACTACATAGTGAGTCCCTGTCTCAAAAAACCAAAAACAAAATAAATAAATTTAAAAAAATAAAATAAATAAATAAATAAATAAAGTAATCTTCAGCATTATGTTTTTTCATATCTTTTAGGATGGTGATTATGAAAAAGCAAAAGCAAAGCAGCATTGGTGAGGACGTATTACAAAGGGAACTCCTGCACGACACTGATATGTATGTAAATTATCCAAGTTATTATGGAAAAGAGTATGGAAGGTTTTCGCAAAATAAAAATAGAACTACATTATAATCCAGCAATACCGTGACTAGCTGTATATCCAAAATAAATGAAGTTAGTATATGAAAGAGATATCCATGTTGGAATGTCCATTTGCTACTTTATTTATGATAACAAAAATATTCAAATAACTTAACTGTTCACCAGCAGCCAATGAACAAAGAAAACATTATACCGGATGTAATTGAGTAGTTTTCTCCCATTCAGGAGAGATACTGCTACTGGTAACAACATGGACAAAGCCAGAGTGCACTGCACTATATAGCAATCCACAAAGAGAAAGGATGAAATAATAAATGATCACATTAATACGTGGAATACCCAACAAGTAAACTAAGAGAAAGAGTAGAACAGTGGAGAGCAGGGGCAGGAGGAGGAAGGGGAAAGCAGGGAAAATAAGTGGAAGGATTGAAATAAGCAATTATGTAGAACAAACGACTCTAGAGAGCCAATGTACAACCTGAAAATTATAGTTAGTAGTATTGTATTATATACTTAAATTTTCTAAGAAAGTGTATGTTTAGCTTTTGGACCATTGGAAAATATGTCTGTGGACGGTGCTTGATACGTTAATTTGATTGTCTGTACTAAACATTTTGGTATGCATATCAAAACAGCATTTTAATGACATAAGTATATAAAATAAAAGTGGAAAAATGTAAAAAGGATACACCTAAAATCCTCACTTTAAAACTGGCACAATGCCACTTTTATAGTTAATATGGGGCATCATTGATAAATGTGACAGCTATATGTATTTCTTTTGTACAGCCTAAAAAGTCAAGGATAGTGATATTCTCAAATAGTATATTGATATATATTTGTTACTGAAATTAACAATAAGGCCACTTTCTAATATTGGACATACTTAACCATACTCCATTTGCATAAATAAAACTCATTTTTCACATTCTCTCTACAAACAAGAAAAGTGCTAACCCACATACAGACTCCTTTTTCTACATTGCGTGACATATGGACTATGTAATGGTAAAGTTATTCTTTTTGGAATGCTGACAACACTTTTCTTGTAGGTCAACCTAAGAAATCCACAATAACATCTCCCAGGATGAAGTGTTTTCAAGAAAATCACTAATGTTATAAAACACACTAAGAAAAAAAATGATAACATAATGAGAATCTTATTTTTTTTCTGTTATTGTTAGGTTTGCAATTATTTTGGGTCAATTATTCTAACATGAAATGTTTTTTTTCCTCCATTTTTAATTAAAAACAATCCTATTCTTTAAGAAAAGTCTACACAGAAACACATTGGACAAAAATGATATTCCTAGAATATGTATTACATTACTTAGAAATTTTCTTCAGATTTTCAAAATTTTAAATCTCTGAAAGTAAATATTTTCCTATAAACTTATATTAAATATTTTCAGAGATGTTTATAATATTTTTCATATAATCTGTAATCTATGTTTCACTTAATGAACTATTGAATATTAATTAAAAACCTATTTAAGATAATCAGCAGCATTTTAAGCTTCTGCAACTTAGGAAAAATACTTGAAATGGAAGAAGTTATTTTCCATATTGTTTACTAAACTGAGAAAATAGCCAGAGAAATGCATAGTTTCTTATAATAGAAATGTTATGCCAGTGTGGCTCTGCAGAAAGACTCATAGTGCAGGAAGAAAGTCAAAAGAAATGTACATCTAATAAATAACATTTTCCTTCATAGATTTATATAATTAGATCAACTACCATAAAGAGAAAAATAACAGCGAAGGTATTCAATTCTTGATGACAGGACATCCAGAGATGTGGTAAATTGCCTTAGAAACACGCTTCCCCGTATTATTTCTTAGCAATTTCTAATTAGTTTTAAGTAATTCTCTCTCTCCCTCTCTCCCTCAAGTAGAACTCTTAAATAAACACACGTTAGAAGTACTGCATGTAGCACAACATCATCAGTGGCATCTGTGTTATAAAAATCCATCCTCTCTCTAGAATGCGGCCTTATTATTTGTTAAAAGTCTGAAAGACTCAGGGCTAGGGTATGACTCAGTGGTAGAGCATGCGCTTAACATTGGCAAGGCCCTGGGTTCCATCCACTCATGGCACAGACATCTGTGTGTGAGAGCGTGGTTAAGGTAACTGAGTAAATTTCGTGTACCACATCCCTTCTAAACATTTATCAGCTCTTCATAAAATATACAAAAATAGAAAACTAATCAAGCACAGGGTCCAAACCAGATGAATTTTCCAAGGAAATACATACAATCAGGCCGTGCCTGCTGTGATCTCATTCCCAAACTCCGCAGCAGACGCAGGAATTTAGTGAGGATGAAGATCAAGGGACACTCTCACCTCTTTAAATCAGACAGTGCAAGATAGATAAATGAAGTAGGAAAAGTTCCCCTTGGTGCAGGAAGACAATACGTAGACACTGCAGAACCCTGCTAAGGTGAGAGAGGACAGTGTCCTTCCAATGTGCGTCGGGACCTGAGGCAAAAGGAGGAATATGCACCATTATGTACACTTAGAAAAGTGTTTCCCTCTCCTTTCAGCTAAAAAGGAAAAATGATGTAAGTATATTCAACAAACAAAATTCTGTAAGCACCTAGTTATGCAATCCATTCTCTACTTATTATCAACACGCATAAATTTGAAATTACAGGATTATTGGAAAGATGGTTCTGAATGCACAGTAATTTAGTATAAAAAACAGGAAAATGACAGCCTTAATTTAAAGCTGTTAAAATTTAGCCAACAATTTTTGCATTTGTGTAGCATTTTCATTCCACATTAAATGTTACTTACCTTGAGTATGGAGCCTTTGGCAATCTCAAATTATGGATTGAAGAAGACTACCTCAGGGTCCTTTCCAAGTTCTCTTCCTGATCCTGCAGTGCAACACAGACACAATCTTAAAGCCATCAGCTAAATAAAACTCGCCTGACATTTTGACTCTGTATTATCTCTCTTACATAAGCCAGCTTAGAACAGACCTCCTGAGCTTATAGATAACCGTAGTGTAACAGTATCAAATCCAGTTTAGTACTGTAGTTGCACAGTTGCTGAATAACTAGAATACTTTTGTTTTTCTCATTGAGTTTATTGGTACCTTTTGAGTATACCGTACAGTTCCATTCATCATTGGGATCTCGTACCTTTACATGACAGGTCTTGGTTCTCACTTTTTCCCCTTACCCCTGCTCTCTCTTCACCTCTTCTACCCTCCCCTATTTACAAAGGGTTTGTTTCCATTTTTTCTTTTTCTCACAAATGGAACTTTTAATGTTTCATTCTAGTGTGTAGCTTTTATTCTCAGTATGCAAAGTAGATGCAAAATCACATTACAAATATAAGATCCAATAATAAGACTTTCAAAAGCAACAAGAGACATTTCCCCTCTCTCCACACATCCCCCATAATTGTCTAGGCTATAATGATGGCATCACAACTGTGTAAGAGGCAGTGGGCTATGACATAAAGCCCATATTCTAGCTGACCATACACCCAAATACAGTGGTAGTGTTCTGTTGCTACACAAAAGAGAAAGTAGATTTCTGCAACAATCAGCAATCTCCACCACAAACTTGGACCAAATCATTGATCTATAATATAATGCCATTTTAATTAAATGCAAACTATTAAAAATAGAAGCAACTAATATATGGGATAACAATATTCAATTGGTGTTTGAATTATCTTTGATGGTAAAACAGCTATACATTTAATAAGAAAGTACGACATTTAGGCCAGAAAAATTAATTCATATAGATATGGAAAATTATATACGCTTTAAAGGGAAAATATTTATTACTTTTTATTTATTTATTTATTTGGTACTGGGGATTGAACTCAGGACCTTGTTCTTGGGAGGCTGGTGGAACCACAGAGCTAAATCCCTGGTCCAAATACTTATTAAATTTTTTTTTTTTTTTTTTTTTTTTTTTTTTCAGTATTGGGGATCGAATTCAGGACCTTGTACTTGCAAGGCAGGCGGTGGAACCACTGAGCCAAATCCCCGGGACCTTAATACTTATTACTTTAAACCCTTGAGAAATTATGACAAAAATGTCCTCATTCTAAAATAGAAATATCAAAAAATTTTGATTGGATGCTTAACAATATATTTAATTAAATAGTTGTTCATACTTTTAAACCAGAAAGTATATGCATAAATAAAACTATACATAGTACCGAACTTCAGTTAAATATTTCTAAATCACTAAAAATTAGAATTTCAACTATTTTATGCATGATACTGAAAGACTAATAATTTCTTCAGGAAAAAAGAAAACACTCTGGCTATAAATCTAAAAGTTACCACAAAAAGTTTTCCTGAAGTTGATGATCTTACCCTCTGTGTAGGAGGGGCCAAAAAGCATAGAGAGAAATAAATTTTACAGAATGAAATTTCTACCTTAAAAAATATAAAGAAAAGAATCACTGGCAACTCATGTATTCATAAGGAAGTTATGTCTACATCAGAAAGATAGAAAAATTATGTCATGAATGAGTACTGAAGAGTAAGGACCAGTACATTTATCCTGAAAATCCTAAGGCAGAAGCAAAATTACAATTAATCTTGCACCTGGTACTTATCATATTATAATATGTACCACCTACAAATAAATAGCTGGAGTAATATACACCTCCTTCAACAAAGAAAGGTAGTATAAGATACTGTAAGGAAAATAAAAATAATTAAAATTTATACCAAAAAAGGAGAAATGTTTCATTACACTGTGATGAAGCTGGTGCATAAAAATCTTAAAGCAGTAATCAGCTCTATGAATCACTGGAACAAAGTAAAAGCATGAAAACTCAAGGATAGAATAGTAAAATGTTATAGAAAAGAAATAAGGTTTAATAATCTCTGGAAAAAATGAATCTCCCTCATTCAAAAAATATTTACTTATATAATTATCGAGTAGCTAATATATGACAGGCACTCTTTGAAGACTTGTCATGTAGAGGTACAAGATCCCAACAATGAATGTAACTGTACTGTATCCCTAAAAT